GGGCATCACCAGGGGGAGTTAACAGGAAGGCGCAGCCCAGCTGGACGGTGCCTCCTGCCCCCAGAGCACAGGGCAGGGGCTGGATGTTTTGCAAGCAGCAGGGCTGGCACCATAGGCGGGATGGGGCAGTGCCAAGGCTGGGGGGAAGCGACACCACCCCAGAGCTGTCATCTAGGTTTGGGCAGCATCCAGGGGTCCCCCGCAAGGTTGTGGGGCCCAGTGCCGAGGCAGAGCTGGAGCCAGGCCCCGACCCACAGTGCATGCAGGCTACACAGCCAGAGCAGGGAGGGAAACTGAGGCACAGAGTCAGGCTGTGACTTGCTCAAGGGCCAACACCGGGTCAGGGGAGAAGCGGGACCAGAACCCAGGTGTCCTAAGTCCCAGACCTCCTAGGCCTCACTGCCCCCCTCTCACAAGCCCAGTAACACCTAGTGCGCGTCCCACCCGTACCCTTGCCCGTCGAAGGGGTTAGAAGAGAGAGGAACTGCCTGGGCCTAGGCACCGAGGGTGAGATGTGCCCACTAGCGAGGGACAAGCCAGGATTTTGAAAGCATGAAATCGGGTCGTGCTGGCTCTAAGCGAGCGGCTGGTTTCATCCGAGCCAGGCGTACCCGGGAGGGCAGATAATACTACGGTGACACACCCCCACTAGCGCTCAGGGCACGCAGTAGCAGCTCAGGGGGATCAGCCCAGGGCTGGGGGTGATGGGTGCAAGGGGATAGGGGTGGCTGGTGAGGAGGAGCTCCCCTGGGGGGTGACGCTGGTGCCAGAAGCCATGAGGGGGCAGAGGAGACTCCCCCCCACATTGGGGGTACCACTCGGCTATCTCCCCCTAGGTGCAGCTACAAACACCAGAACCTTTTTCTCCCCAACCAGAGATTGCCTGCCTGCCCCCCCAAACACCACCCCAGGGCAGGGGCCAGCAGCCCCAAAGGAACGAGGATCATCTCATGCCCAGGCTGCAGGGGTCAGAAAGGCGATACCCCTCCCTGTTCCCGCCCCCCTAGCACCAGGCTGGGGGCACCGCAGCCTCACCCCCGGCTCTGGCATTGCCCCAAGCATGGATGGGGAAGTTCACAAGCCTTAGTCCCTACCCAGCCAGTAGGGGCAGGGCGGGCACTGCCCCCACCCCATGTCTCCTTCCCTTTGGCAGGCGCTTGCCAGGGCCAAGAACCCAGAGCCAGGCTGCTGT